AAATGGATCGTTCTGGTGGCATCATTGTTGCCTTAGAAAATGGATCGCTCTGATGGCAACATTGTCGCCTTACAAAATGGATCGTTCTGGTGGCAACATTGTTGCCTTAGAAAATGGATCGCGCTGATAGCGACAATGTTGCCATGTCCGTTGGCAACACTGTTGCAGCGACAAACAGTTACCGAGTTAAAAGAAGGGTGTTTCCAGATGTGAGGTCTCTGGGCAACTCGAAGTCCGCGTGCAGGAGCTAGTGTTTGGAGCCGACATCTTCAGTGGGGGTGGTGGTGGGTGTTAGAGAAAGGCCCCCGTGTGACCCGCCCCCATCGCCCCTCAGGTGCAGCACGCCAGTAAGCAGATCGCGGCTGACAAGCAGTACAAGGGCATCGTGGACTGCATCGTGCGCATCCCCCGGGAGCAGGGCATCCTGTCCTTCTGGAGGGGCAACCTGGCCAACGTCATCCGCTACTTCCCCACGCAAGCCCTCAACTTCGCCTTCAAGGACAAGTACAAGCAGATCTTCCTGGGCGGCGTGGACAAGCACACTCAGTTCTGGAGGTATTTCGCCGGCAACCTGGCCTCCGGGGGGGCGGCCGGAGCCACCTCTCTCTGCTTCGTCTACCCCCTGGATTTCGCCCGGACCCGCCTGGCGGCCGACGTGGGGAAGTCGGCCACGGAGCGGGAGTTCAAAGGCCTGGGGGACTGTCTGGTGAAGATCACCAAGTCTGACGGCGTCCGGGGCCTGTACCAGGGCTTCAACGTCTCTGTGCAGGGCATCATCATCTACCGGGCTGCCTACTTTGGCGTGTACGACACGGCCAAGGGTAAGTGGGTTCTCCCTGGCTGCTGACACGGCGCCGCTGGCCGGGGGGGCTTCAGCAGCTGACACTCATGTTCTCCCCGTTCTGGAGGCTGGAATCTGAGACCCAGACGTGGGCAGGGTTGGTTTCTCCTGAGGCCTCTCTCCTTGGCGCGTAGACACCCGTTTTCTTTCTGTGTATTCACGTGGTCATCCCCCTGTGCGTGTACATTGTTGATGTCTGTATGTCTTTTTTTTTATTTTTTTATTTTATTAATTTTATTTATTTATTTATTTATTTATTTTTTCCCCCAAAGCCCCGGTAGATAGTTGTATGTCATAGCTGCATAGCCTTCTAGTTGCTGTATGTGGGACGCAGCCTCAGCATGGCCGGAGAAGCGGTGCGTTGGTGCGCGCCCGGGATCCGAACCCGGGCTGCCAGTAGCGGAGCGCACGCACTTAACCGCTAAGCCATGGGGCCGGCCCGATGTCTGTATGTCTTAATTTTGCCTTCTTGTAAGGATGTGAGTCTTATTGAAATAGGGTTCTGCCAAATCATCTCATTTTGTCCTGATTATTTCTGTAGAAAACCCTGTATTCAGACACAGTTTTGTTCTGAGATCTTGGGGGTTGGCAATTCACTGTGATTTTTTGAGGGGGCACAGTTCACCCGTGAAAGTAAGCCCCCCCCCCCGTCAGTGAGGGCCCAGGCCTGCTGGCACCTCTACAGCAGAACGGCCTCAGGTGTGGCATGTCCACTGTCCGAGCCTCGTGCATCCGCTGCTCTGGAGAGGCCACTCCCAGGTGCTCTGCTGGCCCCTGGGCCGGTCCCACTGGAGCTTGCAGGCGGCTTCCCCCTGTAGCTGACCCCACTGTGACCTCTCCAATGTCGCCTGGTCTCGGGAGCTCCGTGTGGAGCCAGGGGGCGGCAGAGTGCAGCTGTGGGGCCTAATGCTGGTGGTGACCCTGCAGGCATGCTCCCCGATCCCAAGAATACCCACATCGTGGTGAGCTGGATGATCGCCCAGACGGTGACGGCTGTGGCGGGCGTGGTCTCCTACCCCTTCGACACCGTACGGCGACGGATGATGATGCAATCGGGGCGCAAAGGAGGTATCTTTTCTAGGGGCTGGGAGGGGGCTGGGCAGCGGGAGGTCAGAGACGTTCTCGAAGGGTCTCGTGGCCTTAGCCTGTGGGATTCTGGGGCCATCGGATAAGGAGTTTCTCAAGGTGGCCTGGCTTAACAGCAGGCTCTGGTCGATGGCAGTGACCCATGTCCAGGCAACACTGGATCCGGTTCCAACAGCCTCTTTTCTGGCCTTGCCTGCAGACTTGTTCACGCCCACGTCCTGGGTCTGCCTCCCTTAACTGTCTCCGGGGCGTCCACGGGCCCTGAGTGGACCAGGGGTTGGAGGTGGGGTTCTGTGGAGGAGTTCTGTGTGTTTCATCCCCACCCCCCAGCAGTAGGCCCAGTGGGGCCGTGAGCAGGGGCACTGGGTGTCCAGAGCCTCCTTTCCCGCGGTCCTGACTCCAAGTTGCCCGGATGGTGGCATCCGGGGATTAGCCTCCCTACCGTGTCTTTCGTGGTTGGTCTCGTGCCCGTTTCCTGAGGAACCTCCCGCTGACCCCCACCCCTCTTCCTGCAGCCGACATCATGTACAAGGGGACCGTCGACTGCTGGCGCAAGATCTTCAAGGACGAGGGCGGCAAGGCTTTCTTCAAGGGCGCCTGGTCCAACGTGCTCAGGGGCATGGGGGGCGCCTTCGTGCTGGTCCTGTACGACGAGCTGAAGAAGGTCATCTAGGCCTCGCCGTGCCGGACCCGGGACCAACCGCACCTCAGAATTCCTAACTGTTACGGACCATTGATCTTCGAGAAATTCCACTATCCTTGTCCCAGCCCGATCCCGCATAGGGGCCGGGGAAGGCTCTAGACAGGGTCCTTGTGATCGTGACCACTGGCGCCGGGATTCCGTGTCTCGATTGCGGGGGGGAGGGGAATCATGCCGTCTTCGTGGGTCCACGGCCAGGCAGCTCGGAGACACGGCCGTAGAGTCCAGGTAGGGCCCGCCTGTGTTTAAGTATTTATTTAAAAAGGAATCATGTCTCCCATTTGTACTTAAGCACTATCTTTTGCACAGCCGAGTATTTCCGATTACGTTCTGTGTTGGGCATTCCGCTGCAAAACAATAAAATCGGGCACAGAGACCCTGTGTGGTGGTCTGTCTGAACCAAGCGGCCTCGTGGGGTTGGCGGCCCAAGGGGTCAGGGTGATCTCCAGCTGGGAAGCGGCAGGATTGAAACCGGGGCCCTGGCTGCCCGTCTGCAGCCTGGTCTGTCCCCCAGGCCGCCTGTGGATGGAAGAAGGGACAAACAGAAGCCAGGACCCTGGGGTCTCGGAGCTTCTCTGTGGGGAGGCCTGTTTGCTGACAGGCCTCTCCTTTCTGAAGTCCTCTTTTGCCCTGAGCTCCTGGGGTCTTCTCCATCCACCATTCGAGCATTAAGCCACCAAGGAGTCCCCAGGGGTGGCAGCTGCTGTGCGTCCGTGGCCCACGCCTGCCCTGGCCTCTCATGAGCATTCACTGCCCCGTGTGTATGCCTGCATGGGGGAGCCCGTTGCCCAGCCCCCAGGCAGCTCAGCGTCCACCCCATGGAGCCATCTCTGCACAAACACTTATGTTCGGTGCAGGAAACAAAAAAAAACTGCAGTCTCCCCCGGGCTGAACTTGGATCCTGGTATCGTCTGCCTCTGGGCTGGGTGAACTGGGGTGGGAAGGCCGGCCCTGCTCTCCTGGGCGTCAGAAATCCTGGTCCAAGAAGGCAGATCTTGTTCTTTCTGATTCCAAAACCTCGGTGCCTACAAACCTTCATGTCTGTGGAACAAGACGGTTACATTAGAGATGGAGAAATTGAAGCAAGCTTGGCCCAAGATCTGGCTTCCGTGGGGTAACAAGACAGGACAGGACTGTCCACCGTCACCCCCACAGGGCCCCTGCCTGCCTCCACGGAGGAACCTTGTCAGGGAGCCCCGGCGTTCAGGGTGGACTAGCTTTGAACCTGGACACCCTCCGTGTCCTCCCGGGAGCTGTGCCGGATTGAGAATGAGGACATGGCCTCACCCTGTTCCTTCTAGCCTGGTGGGGAACGGCCCATTCAGTTAGATAATTACGGCCCCGTTTAATTAGCACTTCGCTGGAATCCCGTCAGCTGGTACCCTGGGTCCCGTGGGGCATTCTGCACGTCATCACCTTCTCGCTGTTCAGCAAAGTAGGCAAAATCGGAAAATGCAACTCAGGCTGATTTCCTGCCTGTAAGAACCTGGAACTCTAAGGATGGAAGCAAGCCAAACAGCCAGAGGTCACTTCACGACTCAACACGCCAGACAGCGTTTCCAGGGGAGCCCGCCTCCTGGAGACCAGGTCCCCAAGTGGCGGGTGGTGTGACGTGAGCGTCCTTCCTCCTGGGTTTATGGCTGGGTGTTGGCGGGTGGCCGTCTTCCAGCGGCTCCGCGGGGTGGGGGGCCTCAGCGGCAGGAGTTTACGCCGTGGGCCCTGAAGCTCTCATGCCCTGCCGGGGGCAGCAGACAGCGGGGTTCCCCGCCTTCCACCATCTCCATCTCCTGACGCTCTGCGGCTTCCTCGTGCTGGCCTCCCCCGACGTGGGGTCCCATGGCTGGGACGCCCCCTTACTGCTGCCCCAGCGCCCCGTCTCCTGTGTGCGCTTCCCGGGGTCGCACACGGAGCTCACGAGCGCTGTGAGCCGCATCCCCGTTACGTGAGGCATTTAAGGTGCTGACGAAGAGAACACGCAAGAAAACACATGGGACCATCAAAGACAGCGCTCGCGAAGGGGCAAGTCCAGTTAAGTGTTAGTGGGGCCCTGGGTGCAGCCTATCTCAGGAGGCCAGACAGAGGGGTCACGGCCAGATCCCACCTCCGGGCCCAGGAGTGAGTGAAAAAGCTTTTTATTTAGGAAGTGAGCACGATACAGGGTTTTGTCTTTCTTCGTAGTGGCAACTCTGCGCACGCTGCACTGGGGTCCCCCTTCTCTCCGGTCACAACGTCCATTCGTCCAACTGCGCCTGGTCGCCCCCGAGAACAAGGCCTGGCCTCCGGCTTCACGTTTCCCCTAGAACCTGCACCTCGGCCACCGGACACTCCTCCCGGCTGGCTTTGCCGGCCTCCCAGACCATCTGTGAGAGAGGGGGAGTTCAGCCCGGCCCGTCCAGAACCTGCCTGGCCTGGACACTGCGCGGCTCACGGGGGCTCGTGGCCCCAACCCCCGGGGGACCTCCTCGGGGGACCACCCCTGCTCACAGGCCAGGCTCCCGGTTCCTCCCGTGCGCGCCGCCCACTGGGGCCCACAGGAGAGCGTCCTGCTGCTTGGGCCGGGCTGCGGCCGCCTCGTCCCCAGACCCGCGCCCTGGCAGCAGCCACCCCGTACTAGCTTGTTCTGCAGGTGGTCGGTGATGTGGTCCTTCATGCGGGGGATAGGGGGGAACAGCTTCTGCGTCACCGAGTACCTGGGGGAAGAGACATTCACGCTGGGAAACCAGGACCAGCCAGCCCCCGTAGGGGAGATGCAGCGTCCGCAGAGGGGCCACAGCGAGGCCGGGATGGAGTTAGGACCCGACCCTCCTGGCGGGGGGCTCTCGTTCCCGGCCCCCACGGCCAGGACACGCACGAGTGGCTCATCACCGTGTTAGCAGAAGCTAAGACTGCTTCTCAGTCGCCTGCACCTCGCCCCACCCCTGCCAGAGACCCTGGAAAGATGGAGGCGGCCTCCAGCTCCTATCACCATGGCAACGACCCCATGCCAGGGGCTTGTACCCTACCCGCTGGCAGCTGGCCCACCCACGCCTAAAACCAAGCCCCTCCGCAGGGCGGCTCTGCCTGAAGGGGCTGGAAGGGTGGGGTGAAGCCAAGAGAGAGCCACGGTTGAACCAGAGTCGAGGGCCACCAGGTGAGCACTGGGACAAAGATCCCCAGGCCAGGACAGGGCCTGTGCCGGGCTCACCCATCAGGCTGAACCCCCCGGGCATGTGGAAGGGACCCCCAGCAGCAGGAGTTGTGGTCGGCTGGGACAGGCCATGATAACGCTATCGGCTGGCCTGCTGCCCGCTGGGTGGGGAAGGGTCCCAGGGGCACGTCCTGACGGATGTTGGGGAGGGGGGAGTCTGGATAAGGTGTGACGGAGCAAAAAGTGGGGACATGTGGGGACGAGCAGGTGACCCTCGCTGCAGCCCCCCGTCGTGTGCTGGGGGTCTGGGGAGGGAGGAAGGGAGGGAGGGGCCCCCGGGATGCTGCATTGGGGACCGGGCGTCCTGGTGTCCCTTGAGCAGCAGGAACCAGATGGTGGAAACTAGGATCATGTTTCAGAAAGACCCCTGGGGCGCCTGGAGGCCCGGGAGAGGCGGGCGCGCGCGCCCGGGCGGTTGAGACCCGGGGGCGCGCGATCGGGGGCGAAGGGGTAGCGTCCGGCCGCGAGGGACCCCCAGGGTGGAGCGCGCCCCAGAAAACCACCCCGCGAACCCGGGGCCGCGGGGCGCTCACCTTCTGCAGAGGAGGAGCAGGAGCCCGAGAGCCAGCAGCGTGCCCAGCGCGGTCAGCGAAGCGGTCAGCCAGACGCGGAGGCCCGCGCCCTCCTTCTCCGGGTCACACACTAGGGAAGGGGGGCGGAGGGGACGCGTCGGGCCGGTCCTGGGGGTCCAGGGATAGCGCATCCGCGGCCGCTGCCCCAGGGGCCCGGGATGGGGAGGCGGCCGCACGCGGAGCACCGTCCACTGTGGGGACGGCGGCCACCTGCTCACCGGGACCCTGCGGGAGCCGCTCCCACGGGGAGAGCCCTCGCCAGAAGCCCTTTGCCCCCCGACTGACCACCGAGGGACACTTGGCGTTGACCCGTCGCCCTCTGGTCTTGCCAGTGCGCGGGACACCCAGCCCCGAGAGTGTTTTCAAAGAGCCCGGCTTCCCCTCGCCGCGAATGGTCCGCCGGGCCGGCTGGAGGCGTGGCGGGTCTGTCCTGCAGAACAACCGCCTCGCTCCAGCTCCGCGCCCTGGTCTGCGCGGAGAGGGATATTATGCCCATCGTGGATTTTTTGCATTAACTTTGATTTAAAAACAAAAACAAAAACAAAAACTATCGCATTAAACGATTTGTTTTAATGACAGATTTTTGGCAATAGTGGGCTCTTTGCCACGGAGCAAGACAGGCAGCTGGCTGGAACAGCTTGGGCAGGGGTGCAGAGCTTAGCAGGCAGGACAGGGGAACAGAGGGGAAACTGAGTCCAGGAGGCGCATGCAGCACGGACAGGAAGAGGATACCCAGGTGTCGGAGGAGCCTGAGAAAATGCACGTGGTTCTGAAGGCATCTGCTCTGCAAGCCATAGGTGAGATGTAGGTGAGATTAGCCCGATGGCCAGGAAGCCAGTCCCAGAGGGAAGGAGGGGAGAAGGCAAAGGGGACCTCATGTCTCCACCCACCCCTGCCCCAGACCCCCAGGCCAGCCAGAGGGCAGGTGAAACCCAAAAGGCACATTGCAGGGAGCTGGCTATACAGCTGCTCTACCTGGAGAAAGTCTCCTACTTGCCCCTCGGACCTTTCTCTGTGATCTCTCTCTCCAGGGTCTGCGGGGAATGGATCTGGGTTTGGCGCACCGCAGACCAGGCCTGCAGGAATCACAAGAGCCCACGGGCCTCCAGGGGGCCAGGAGAACTGTGGGTCACGCAAGTAACAAGTAACCCAGCTTTGACTCACAGGGCCTGCAGCCCCCAGCAGCCGGGAGAGGGGCCTGGAACAGACGCTGCCTCAGAGCCTCCAGAAGGAACAGCCCTGCCCTCACCTTGATCTCGGACTTACAGCCTCCAGATCTGGGAGCTAACGAATTTCTGTTGTTTAAGCCACCCAGTCTATGGTATTTTGTTACGGCAGCACAAGTAATTTATCTATCTCTCTATAATTTTGTGTGCCAACTTGTCTCAACCACGGTACCCAGATATTTGCTTACCCATGAGTCTAGATGTTAATATGAAGGTTTTTTTTAGATAAGATTAATATTTAAATCAGTAGTCTTTGAATAAAGCAGATTGCCCTCTGTAGTGTGGGTGGGCCTCATCTAATCAGTTGAAGGCCTCAAGAGAAAAGACTGAGATTCCCTGAGGAAGAGGGAATTCTTCCTCTGGGTGGCCTTGGGACTCGAGCTGCAACGTCAGCTCCTCCCTGGGTCTCCAGCTGCCTGGTCTACCCTGTAGGTTTTGGACGTGCCGGCCTCCACAATTGCATGAACCAATTCTTTAAAGCAAATCTCTCTCCCTGTTTCTGTCTCTAGATAGATAGGTAGGTAGGTAGAGAGGTAACTAGTTAGATGACAGATAAATGATAGAGATAGATAAATATATGATAGATAGATAGATAGATAGATAGATAATAGATAGATATAGATAGATAGATAGATGGTTAGATAGAGAGAGGATAGATAAATATAGATAGATAGATAGATAGATAGATAGATAGATAGATAGATAGACAGACACAGATAATAGATGATAAATAGAGATAGATGATAGATATGATGGATGGATGGATGGATAGATAGATAGATAGACTGATACGATGGATGAATAGATGATAGATAGATAGATAGATAGATAGATAGATAGATAGATAGATAGATAGATGATATGATGGATGGATAGATAGATAGACAGACAGATGATAGATAGATGATGGATAGATAGATAGACAGACAGATGATAGATAGATGATAAATAGAGATAGATAGATGATAGATATGATGGATGGATAGATATGATGGATGGATGGATAGATAGAGAGAGAGAGAGATGATAGATGATATAGGTAGGTAGGTAGGTAGGTAGATAGATAGATAGATAGATAGATAGATAGATAGATAGATAGATGGATATGATGGATGGATAGACAGATGGATAGATACATGGTAGATAGATAGATGATGGATAGATAGATGTGATGGATGGATAGATAGATGATGGACAGATAGATAGATAGATAGATGAATAGACAGATAGATGATGGATACATAGATAGAGATATATGCACACATCCTGTTGGTTCTGTTTCTCCAGAGAACCCTAAATAACACAGGGGTCAGCGCAGATATGTCCCCTCCTCTTGTGTCTTCTGTAATACCAATGGCAGATGAACCTACACATCCCACTGGTTGTGTCTGCACAAAGGGGCCGTCCATTCATCTGAAGGATTCATGGAACTTGGCTGGAGTGAGGGTTCTGGTATGCAGCCCAGGGGGCTTGCACACAGTACCGTGTGGCCGTGACCCAGACACACTGCTCATCTGCCCCAGAATTACACGAATCCACCCAACTCTGTGGGACTCAAGCACGAGATCCAACATGGCGCCTGCCTTGGCCTTTCCATGGGTACTTGTGTGTCTGTCCTGGGGGCTCCTCGCCTGCCCTCACTCTTCCTTCCAGCCGTCCCCACCTCTCCAGTCACCCAAGTATTTGCAGCTGTCTCAACAGATCAGTTGAGTCACATCAACATGCATTGATCATTTTCACCTCAATGCATTCAAAATTCGAGCTCCATCACCCAGAGAAGGATGCTCATGACCACACTGGGGGCCGTGTTTCCTACTTCCTTCCCACCACGTGCACGGGGTGAGAGTGGGGGGTCTTGGTATGACATAAGTCAGCAGGGCTGGGACTAGGAGAAGGCAAATTTTGGCATTTTATTCATCGTGCATTTTTTTTTTTGCATTAATTTGGATTTTTTAAGATGTTGCATCCAACTATTTATCTTGATGGCTGAGTTTCGGGCACCCCCATACGTTTCGTCTGGCCCCGTCTGTTCCCTAACCTGGCAAGAGACAGTCTCCCTCCAGTCCTTCCTGTCAAATCTGACTGTAGTCCCCCACCGGCCACCACCCCTTCTCTCTGGCTGGGGCCACCATCTCCTCCACGTGCAAAAGAAGAAAAGTGCTGGAGGCAGCGTGGTGATGTCATGTGGGGACTGGTCTCAGAGCGATGGCTGCAGGTCAGGGAGGGGCCCTCGGATGGAAGTGGAGGGATCGTGGAGTTGGCAACTCGACAGGCCTGCAGAGCAAGCTTCCTCCTGCCCTGGCGATCCCTTCAGTGAGGGCGGGTGGCCCCACATGCAGAACAGGGAACCAAGGGTGTCCTCCCAAAAGTCGTGTCCACGTCCTGACCCCTGATGCCTTATTTGGAAAGAGAGTGTATGAGTGTCCTGGGGCTGCCGTAACCAAGGACCACAAATGGGTGGCTTAAACCACAGACATTTATCGTCTCCCAGTCCTGGAGGCTGGACTCTGAGATCCAGGTGTCACAGGGCTGGTTCCTCCTGAGCCCTCTCTCCTTGGCGTGTAGACGCCACCTTCTCCCTGTGTCCTCACATGGTCGTCCTTCTGTGCGTGTCTGTGTCCTCATCTCCTCTTTTCATAAGGACACCAGTCCTATTGACCTCATTTTACCTTCATCGCCTCTTTAAAGACCCATCTCCACATACAGCCCCATTCTGAGGTCCTGGGGGTCAGGACTCCAACATGTGAATTTTGGGGGGACACATTCAGTCCATAACAGAGGGTCTTTGCAGATGTGATTAAGTGAAGGATGGAGAGGAGGGCATCCTGGAGGAGGGTGGCCCTAAATCCACTGACAGTGTCCTCATCAGAGACAGAAGAGGAGACACAGACACAGAGGAGAAGCCACGTGGAGACGGAGGCAGAGACGGGAGGGAGGCGGCCACCAGCCCAGGGACGCCTGGAGCCCCAGACGCTGGAAGAGGCAGGAAGGACCCTCCCCTGGAGCCTCTGGAGGGAGCGCAGCCGTGCGACCCCTTGACCTCAGGGGTAGAGGGTGAATTCCTGTGGTTTAAGCCCCCAGCGTGTGGTCTGGTGTTACAGCCGCCCTGGGACACTCACGCACATGGCCTCAGCCCGGTGACCAAGTTTCCTGCTGTGCCACCTCCAAAATGTGACATTCCTGGAGCCTGGGAGGAGGGTCCCGGTCACCTGGCTTCAGAACAGCTCAGGGAGAAACGGCAGCCCTTATCCTGGGGAAATCCTTCTAATCAGGCATGGAGCCCACACCCAGGGTGACTGGATAGAAGAGATGGACCCCATTGCCCAGCACTGAGGCCCGGGCGGCTCCTGGTGGGACAGTCTTGTTCCCTCCAGCCTCTGCCCTCCCATGGCATGAACTCAAGGTGCAGGGTCACCTGCTTTCTTCAGAGCCCTCTTTGGGGACACAGAAGCAGATAGAGCGTTCAACACACACACACACCAGGCGAAATGAAAGGCGCCACTCACCAAAGCGTTTGGGGTCACTCCACTCGCTTAGGATTTTGGTGAAGAAACTCTGGGTTCTTATCTGCACGGTGTAGGTTCCGGGATTGCTTAGCACAAAGAAGTTTTTTTTCAGGACCTGTCATTTAAAAGCAAACAAAGAGGAAAAGACCATTCCCAGTTGGTGGGGAGAGAAGAATGGGGCCCTATAAGGGGTTGAGTGGGTCCCCCCCACACTCCTATGTGGGAGCCCTCAGTGTCTTAGAAAGGGGCCTTATTCAGAAATAGGTCGATGCAGATGTCATTAGTTAAGACGATGTCAGATGGGATACAGTGGGCCTCATCCAGTGTGACTGGTGTCCTTATAAGTAAGGCAAATCTGGAGACAGACAGGCACAGAGGAATAAGGTCGTGTGCATACGGAAGGGATCCGACCGCAAGCCAAGGAGCCCCAGACCCTGGAAGAGGCAGGAAGGACCCCCCCTGGAGCCTCCAGAGGGAGCGCGGCCCTGTGACACCTTATCTCAGACTTCTGTTCTCCAGGACTGGGGGAGGAGGAATTCCTGTGGTTTTAAGACATTGAGTCTGGGTTCTTGTCACGGCTGCCCCAGGGAGCTAATACAGGCCCCCCAAAGAGAGCCTGAGCAGCCCCTGTGAGGACCAGCGGGAAGACACCCAGTGCTCAGAGGGGCCCGGGCCCTGGAGCCCCCTTCCTGTCTCAGCCCAGGCTCTTGTTGCCCGAACAAAAATGTTCTTTGTAATCACTAGACAGTAAATAATCCGTGGCCACCACCAGTGAGGCCAACATCAGTAGTGCCATCTGTGGGGTGTTGTGTAGTAAATGGAGCCCTATAGGGTGTTGAGTGGTGTCCCCTCAAAAAACATATGTCCCCTGGAATCCAGGAAGGAGACCTTATTTGGAAACAGAGTCTTTGCAGACATGATTAAGTGAAGGATGGAGAGGAGGTCATCCTGAAGGAGGGTGGCCCTAAATCCAATGACAGTGTCCTCATCAGAGACAGAAGAGGAGACACAGACACAGAGGAGAAGCCGCGTGGGGACGGAGGCAGTGAGAGAGCATAGGAGAGGAGAGAGGGAAAGAGAGAGAGAAAGAAAGGATGAAAAGAGAGAGATGGAGAGTGGGAGAGAGAGATTAAGAGAGGACAGAGAGAGAGGGAAGAGGGGAGAGAGAGAGAGGCAGAGATGGAGAGAGAGTGAGTGGGGTCCATTGCCGGCGGTTATGAGATGCCTGTCCAATGCATGGACCACCTATGTGGAAATATTTGCCTCTGCTGGTCACAACGCACGGTTTTGGTGACTCCCCCACCAAATTTGGGTGCCTGGCCCAGCCTAACGAGTTTGGGGTGCGTGGCTGAACCTCCTTGGGCAGCACCAAGCAGGCAGTAGCCTCTGGGTCTATCTGCTTGGGAGCTTCATGTCAGAGTCGCTGCTTCCTCTTCCCTCAATACTGACTTTGTGAGATTGATGTACGGGTGTGTGACACCCACATGCAGAGTCTGGCATGTGGGCGCTGCTGGATGGGCAGTAATAAAAATAGCCAACTTGCACTTGCCGATGCCATATTCAGGGAGGACGGGGGCGCTCACCTGTGTTGTGTAGGCAGGATCTGTGCCCTGCAAGACAAAAACAAGAAGCAGTGGGTGCCTAATCCTGCCCCCTAAGAAAGCCCCCCCCCACCGTTTTTCTCCAGGTGGCCCAGTGAAGCAGCAGGACTTCGGGATGCCCTGGGCAGTGATGGCATGTCAAACGGTGAGCTTAGTGGTAAAGAGCGCCTTAAGAAACGGCCTTTCCTGTGTGACTGCAGCAACGGGGGTGGGGGCCTCGTGAGTGTCCATTGAACAACAAGACGCACTGTCTCCCCAGGCTGCTTCTGGGGTGTGCCTGTGGTGGAATGGATGGGTGACAGTGCAGGGAGCTGTAGGCTGACTTGAAGCTGGGCTACGACTCTGCCTCTGGCTGCAGCAATGGCTACACCCTCCAATCATGTAGGGGAGAAAGGAGTTTGGGTGGTATTCAGCCACAAAACACCAACACTATAAAATGCTGATTTGCTCAAAAACAGGTGGCCTTTTTTTTAGTGAATACAGCTTGTTTGAGCAGTTTCAGGTTCACAGAAGAATCGAGTATAAAATAATCAGTAATTGAGTATGAAAATAAATATAGTGCAAAAATAAATAAAAATAATAAGTATAAATTGATAATTGCGTATAAAATGTTGATTAACTAAAAAATACCCAGTCTTTCTTTTCATAGAAAATTAATAGACTTTATTTTTTTTGACAAGTTTTAGGTTTACAGAAATATTGAGCATAATCACCAGTTTAGTATAAATAATAAATAAAGATAATACAGGAATAAGGAAAGAAAAATAATAAGTAAATAATTGAGTGTAAAATACCAATTATCCTAAAAATAATTGTTTTTTTAAAAATAAATAGACTTGATTTTTTGAGTAGTTTCGGTTTACGTAAAAAAATGAGCAAAAGGGGCCGGCCTGGTGGTGCAAGCAGTGGGGTGTGCGTGCTCTGCTGTGGCGGCCCGGGGTTCGTGGGTTCGGATCCCGGGCGCGCACCGATGCACCACTTGGCAAGCCATGCTGTGGTGGTATCCCATATAAAGAGGAGGAAGATGGGCACGGATGTTAGCCCAGGGCCAGTCTTCCTCAGCAAAAAGTGGAGGACTGGCAGATGTTAGCTCAGGGCTGGTCTTCCTCACAAAAAAAAAAAAAAAATGAGCAAAAGCAGTAACTGAGTATAAATAATACATAAATATATAAATAGACATAATGAATAAATAAAAATAAATAATTAAATATAAAATAGCAATTAGCTCAAAAATATTTGGTCACTTTCTTTTAATTTATAGCCTTTAATTTTTTTTTTCTTGCCTCCTCTTTTTGCTGAGGAAGACTGGCCCTGGGCTAACATCCATGCCCATCTTCCTCCACTTTATATGGGACGCCGCCACAGCATGGCTTGATAAGTGGTGCATAGGTCCGTGCCTGAGATCTGAACCTGTGAACCCTGGGCCGCCAAAGTGGAGCACGCGAACTTAACCACTATGCCACCGGGCCAGGCCCCTATAGACTTTAATTGGTTTGAGCACTTTAGGTTTATAGAGAAATTGAGTATAAAATAATCAGCAACTGAGTATAAATAATAAATATACACCAATAGGTAAAAAAATAAATATATAAGTAAATAACTGATATAAAATACTGATTAAGTCCAAAATACTTGGTCTTTTTCTAATTAATAGATTTTTTTCAGTAGTTTTAGGTTCATAGAAGAATTGAGTATCAGTACATAAATAAGTCTAAGTAAATAATGGAGTTTAGAATTCCAATTAGCTCAAAAATACTTGGTCATTTTCTTTTAATGTACAGACTTTAGTTTTTTCGGAGTAGTTTTAGGTTTACAGAAAAACCAAGTATAAACTAAACATACTTGAATGTCAATAGTAAATAAATGTATTACATAGATACATAACATAGTAAATAAATATTTGGTGGCCTTATATTGTCCTGGGTCCAGACCTAGCAAGGGAATTGCTGACTCAGTAAGATACTTTCAAAGAGTTTTCCAAAGCAGCTATACCGATTTAAATTCCCAGCAGCAGCATACGGGGGTTCCCGTCCACTCAGCCTCACCCGTGCTTGGTCTGGTCAGCTTTTCTCAATTTAGGCAATGTATTGGGTGTGAAGCCAGCCCTCGGGGTCTAGTGGTCACCCCCACAGCCCAGGTTCGTTTCCCAGCCAGGGGACCACACCACCCGTCTGTCGGTCATCACACTGTTGCAGCTGTGTGTTGCTGGGATGCTGAAAGCTATGCCACGGGGATTTCCAATACCAGCAGGTCACCCGTGGTGGACAGGGTTCAGTGGGGCTTCCAGACTAAGACAGACCAGGAAGAAGGACCCGGCACCCACTTCCAAAACACTGGCCACGAAAACCCCATGAATAGCAGCAGAGCGTTGTCTGATAGAGGCCGGAAGGGGAGAGGGTGGCGCGAAAAGACTGGGCAGGGTTCCCTCGGCTGCCCACAGGGGCGCTGGGAGTCAGATCCATTTCCGACACTAACAACAAAACAGACGTGAAGTAGTCTCTCGTTGCGTTTTGGATTTGATGACATTATCGTCTCTGATGACTAATGATGGGGGAGCATCTTCTCACCTCCTTATGGGTCATTAATATATCTCCTCTGGGCGAGTGTCTGTTTAAACCTTTTGCCCATTTTTTATAGGGTTGCCTGTCATCTTAGCATTGACTTGTGAGACTCCCTTATCTACTCGAACATAAGTCCTTCAACAGACACGTATGTACGTGTCTTCCCTTCTGTCATCTGCCTTCTCGATTTTAGCTGCGTATTTCGAACACGGGTATTTTTAGTTTTGCTAAAGCTAAATGTTTTTATGCTTCATATTTTTTGTGTCTTTTCTACCCAAAAGCCGCCAAAAGAGTACAGATTCTAAAGCAGGGACGCCAGCTGGGAGAAGCATTTACCATTTGTATTTGAAGTTCGTAGTTAAATCTTCGAGTGAAGTGGCTTGATGTTCTCCACTCCATGAGAGCGTAGGTTTTATTACACCATCCCGTGACGTTGGGTGGGCTTAATCTCTCTAGGCGAGGAAAAAAGACACTCGTATGAGCAAAGCAAGTCAAAATCAGTTTTCTGGACATACTCTTAAAATAGGCCTCCTACAAATTCAAGGGGAAAAAGGCAGGAAAATGTCATTCAAAGGTTGAAGAATAGTGAAAATATCAACAGACACGCATGACAAAATTATGTTGGGATGCGGGCACATGAAAAGATGTACAACATCACTAATTATTAGGGAAATGCAAATCAAAACTACAATGAGATATCCCCTCACACCCGTCAGCATGGGTACAATTAACAAGACAAGAAATAACAGGTGTTGGAGAGGATGTGGAGAGAAGGGAACCCTCATTCACTGCTGGTGGGAGTGCAAACTGGTGCAGCCACTATGGAAAATGGTATGGAGATTCCTCAAAAAACTAAAATAGAAACACCGTACCATCCAGCTATCTCAATTCTGGGTATTTATCCAAAGAACTTGAAATCAACAATCCAAAGAGACTTATGCATCCCTGTGTTCACTGCAGCATTATTCACAATAGTCAAGACGTGGAAGCAACCCAAGTGCCCATCCACTGATGAATGGATAAAGAAGATGTGGTATATATACAATGGAATACTACTCAGCCATAAAAAAGACAAAATCGTGCCATTTGTGACAACATGGATGGACCTTGAGAGTATGATGTTAAGTGAAATAAATGAAAACAGAGAAAGACAAACGTGGTATGATTTCACTCATATGTGGAAGATAAACAAACACATGGGTGGAGAGAATGGATTGGTGGTTGCCAGAGGGGAAGGGGCCTGAGGGGGTTGGGGGAAAGGGGGAAAGGGGCACATTTATATGGTGATGGATAAAAACTAGACTATTGGTGGTGAGCACGATGCAGACTACACAGAAACTGATATATAACAGTGTACGTCTGAAATTATACAACGTTATAAGCCAATATGACTTCAATTAATAAAAAAGATACGTTGGGATGGTTAGCCTGATTCAGCCTTGGGATTAGCTCTCAGACACCAGCATGGGGTGAGACTTGCCCCCCTGAGACCCTTCTGGAAAGGTTTTGCAGGTCTGTGTAGCTGACACCCCCCAGAACAATGCTTGTTCTTTCCCTTCTTGCCAGTTCCAGTGCCCCTCATTCAGTGTTTCTCCAGCAGACAGAGAAAGTCTGCTGTGTGCACTGTGCCCTCCCTCCTTCCCACCTGACCCGCTCTGCTCAGCCCCGGGCAGCCCGACCTGCTCCCCACCCTGCCCCAGACCATCCCACTCCCAGCACCTCAGACGAAAACTTCACTGGGTGGCTTCTGCCCTGCCCCAGACTCCCCCCCCTTGGCTGGGACACAGCCTGCTCTAGATGTCCGGACCGCCTGCCTTCTCTCCTTCCCTAGACCCGTGCCTGCTGGAGCTGGCTCCTCCCAGGACCCTCCTGCCCCCCTTCCCTGTGCTTCCCCAGGGCTCTGCCCTGCCCCTCCCTCGGGTCCCCCTCCCCTGCCGCCCAGGCTCCATCAGGTTTCTGTGGGACCACGTCCCCACATGCACTGGCAGGCCTGACCCCACCAGGAGCCCAGCCCTGTCCCCACCTGCCTGCTCGGAGTCTCACCTGGACCCTGCAGGAAGTCCAAGCTCCCTGTGGGGTGATTCCCAGGTGTGGGTGCCCTGGCCCCTCCCTCTCATCCACCGTCCCCTCCTCCCCCTCC